GCGAGTTACAGCGCGGCCCTCAGGAGGCAGCGTCGTCATGCTCCTTGTGGCGCGAGGAAGCCGGGCCGGAGGGAGAAACGGGGGTCCGGGCGCGGGCCTGTGATTGGCAGCTCCCGGCCGCCACAGGAACCCCCCTAAATGAACTTCAGGCTGCTGCCCGAGACGCGGACTGGATGCGACAGCCCGGACGCAGAGACCGGGGTGCTGTGTGCGTGCGGATCACTCACACGCGGGTGAGTCACACGAGGCCCTTATGATGACGCACAGTCCGGAGTCACGCGGCCCCATCGGCCGGCAGCCTGGGCCCGAGCCGGAGCCCCTGTGTCAACGCCACCAGCGACCTCGCACCGGAGAACTCGGCTCCGCGGGTCCGGGTCATTCCCCGGAGGAGAAAGAGCCGAAGCCGCAGCCTTTTGCCTCCGCTGGCGGGGCCCAGACGTCAGGGCCGCTCGTCATAACGTTTCCCAGAAAAACTGATGCTTCGACGCTGAGGAAACGGCCCGATTCCTGCCGGCCCTGGGACCCGACGGGGCCCGAAGCTTGAGCAGCTCGAGGCGCACGCGGGGGGCCCCGTGCCGTCCTTTCGAGATTGGGGTGCACTGGCTCGTGCTTGCACCCCGACTTCTGCACGGTCAAGAGGCGGCGGCTGCACCTCCCGCTGGGACCGCCTGTGTCGCGGCCGGGACATAAGCTTGGCCGCCATGTCCACTCGTTTCGAGGCCCTGTGACAGGGGTCGGCGTTCGCGCCGAGCCCACGCGGCAGGCGAGGCGCCCTTCCCACGTGTGATGACACGCCCGGGTGCCGGGGACAAGGACGTGGACACCTCGGGGTCACTCTTCGGTCTGCTGTCATTGCCGAACATGGAAGCGCTGGGGACTCCGCCTCCTGACCCCGCCTGTCACCATCTGAGCTGCCGGTTTCCACGGCTACCGTGGCCGAGCCCTTCTCGGGTTCAGAGCCACCGCAAAGGAGTGGCTTCGCAGAGGTCCTTTGCTGTGTCGTCTAGGAAGTGTTTCCTCGCTGGCGGCCATTTTTCAATCGAATTAATTGATCAGTTTATCAAAAGACTCTCATCGGTTACCCCAGCAGCCCCAGCATGCCATGCAGCCTCGCTGGCTTCGGGGTGCCCTCGCTGGCTTCGGGGTGCCCTCGCTGGCTTCGGGGTGCCCTTGCACACAGCGAAAGTTGCTCTGCCATTGTGGAAAGTGGCCGCTGGGTGAAACGATGTGGGGTGCACAGAAGCCCTCAAGGTCCCCGCTTTGGGCGATGCTGGTTCAGAACGTTTGGGGAACAGCGATCATAAGTCAATGACCAAATTCGACAATGTCCGGAAAAATGTAAATTTCAAGATGACCTTGCGCCTCCTGGACAAACACTAACAAGCTAAGCTTAATAATTTCCTACCAAATGTTTATTTCCCGTCAAATGTTTAGGCAACAAAACTCTTCCAGACTTTGCATGAACCTTTTTATTTATGGCATTTTCTTCATCATTTATCTATGCGAACGCAACCTGACCCAGGAAACGTATTTGCATAGCAAATTGCAGGCCATTGATTGGGGGCTTGACTAAAGCTTTTGGATAAACATGAAAATTGCTAATGTGACACTATAGTTCACACACAGTATAAGCAGCCCAGAACAAGGCATGGCGTATTATGCAGATGTTGACGGCGGACTCACTTAGAGTGGTTTAAATTTGTGTTTGTAGCTACAAAAAAATGGGGACAATGAGCACTTATGGATAATCATTTTGTCAAATGAAATTATAAATAATAACTTCCCTTTCGAATTATGGGAGAATTTAAGCAGAGAACAAAAGAAACATTTAAATTATACAGGGTGATTCGTGCTACAGTATGAGACAGACAGAAAGATAAATCGATGGACAGTTGGATGGATCGATAGCTGAAGGAATCAATAGATGGATGGATCAGTTGATGCATAGATAAGATAGAAAGATAGATAGATGATAGATGATAGATAAGATAGTTGATAGATAAATAATAAATGGATGGATAGACAGATATAAAAGATGGTGGGTAACAGATGCATCGCTGGGTAGATGGATCATAGATGAATGGGTAGGTGGCCAGACAGATAGATGACAGATGAATCGATGGAGAGAGAACGGACAAGTGGAAGGGACAGAGACGTAGACTCAGACAGACAGACAGATGAGGTAGAATGAATGACATAGAGACAGTGTCTGCAGCCCGAGTCCCATCTTGTCGCCTTGTCTCCCCTTTATAATGCATAGTGAAGAGTGATGGGTTTTTAAAAATTTAGCTTTTACATGAAATAATTCAGAGACATAAATGCATACTTTATATATAGCTGGCACATCCAGAACGGAGAAATGATCGTATCCACGCTGAATGCCTCTAAAGCGAATGCCAGCGCGTGCCACAGCCGAACCCAGGTCTGTAGGGACAATGGCCGTTCCCTCACGTGTCACCAGAGCCGGCGTCGCTGTCACTGAGGACGGGGCACCGGGCGGGGGCCGTGGAGCCAGGGCACGGTCCCTCTCTGACGTCTGACGGGTGGCGGGAAATGGTCCAGACCCCGCCTTACGGGGTGCATCCAGAGGGATACCCCGAGTGCGGTTTGTGTGTTTATTTGCCGCCAGCCCCGGAGCCCGACATCCTCGCCGCTCCTCCGCGTGGCCGACTGAGCACGTGTGAGTAGGACTGTGTACATGTGCATGTGTGTACATGTGCGTGTATGTGAGTGTGTGTGGTGCGTGAATGTGCATGTGTGTGCTTGTGTGTGTGTGACTGTACACGTGCATGTGTGTGCAGTGTGTGCATGTGTGAGTGAGCACATGTGTGTGGCATGTGGTGTCTGCATGTGTGCGTGTGCGTACACACCTACCCGGAGGGTGCTGTGTGCCCTGACCACTATGACATGAGAGGGAAGGCAACTGTCACCCAGAAAATGCTGCTGTCCAGGCGACACGCGGGAGCCGTTCTGGTCGGTCCCCACGCGGCGCGGCTGGTTCTCCTGTGGCTTTGTCCCCACCCACATCTCCACCGTGCATCCCTGAAGCAGCGGTGTGAGCGCGTGTGACCTGCAGGCCTCAGACAGTCAGGCCGCCTCCGGTGACACGGGTGACAACGTGGGAGTTCCCCAGAGGAAGGGGGTCCCCCTTCAAGGCTGTCGTCAGGCCAGAGGCGTCGCCCCCACAGGAGGAAGCTGGGCATCAAATCACAGTGGGCATCGTGAGCCTCGAACATCGGAGGGACGCTTCGGGCACTGGTCTCCAGATGGCCCTTGCCAGCGCAGAGATGCAGGTGTCCCTGAAACCACAATTACGTTTCTCAGACCGATCCGTGGTCTTGTGTCCCAACCGCCAGAGTTTTTCGCGCTCGTTTCTTGCTGCCGAGTGCAAGCGTCTCTTGCACGCCTCTGCGTTTACTTCTGATGGGTTGTTTATGGTTTGCAGGGCGTGGGGAATGTGACCGTGGCTGGCCAAATCACGGGGCGTCCAAAAACCTCAGACCCAGGGTCCATTCCGGGGCTGGGCCACGTCGCTGTGGGGCGACTCAGGGCCGGGTCTCCAGAGTCACAGCCGCATCCAAGGGTTGAGCTTCCTCACGGAACTGTGACCTTCGGACAAACTTAGGTCTTACAATAGCATTATAACCAGAAGAGTCTTGACCGTCTCACCATTGCTGAAATTTTGGCCCACGATTTCCTCAAATAGAATGTTCTATTTTATCTACCTTTAGTTGTGAGTTTTCCATGGTAAGAAAGCAGACACGCACGGGAAACGCGTCTCAGGTGGTGGGCTGCGGGTCCACACCACGTCTGCCCCAGAACCACATGTGTGTGCACATGTGTGAGTGTGCATGTGTGTACATTAAATGTGTGTGGCGCCCTGCTCGGCATGAGCCTCGGCCAGCGCGTCTCATGCTCATCCCGTGTGTGTGCTGCCCGTGCACACGCATGCAAACGTGGACACGCACGCACACGCACTTTGGGTTTTCGCTGAGACGCACCGTGCTCAGCGTGGCTCTGGACCTTCGGGCTTCCGACATACGGGGCGCGTGCTTCCAGCTCCGCACGCCTGTGCTGGCGTGTTCCTCATAACTGCCACCCAGTGCCACCGCCTCCCCGCCCCGTCGCGGGCAGGGGCGGAGCTGAGTGTCTTGCATCCTCTGCTTCCATTGATCGTGATCACTTACCGCTCGCGACACCGAATCTGTCCAACAAGTTCACAAGCCGAACGCTGCTCCGTCACGCGTCGGCCTGAGCGGGGGCCAGGACTTGCTTTGGGTGGGACGTGCCCCATGGGGCTGACTCTGCAGAGCCTGGCGATGGGTGAGTGAAGGTGCCCGGTCTGTCCCTGACCCATCGGAGCCCTCACGGGGTCCCAGATGCCATTGGGAGGGGGTCCAGCACCAAGAAGCAGACGTCAGGCCAACCTCAGGCTCGGGGGCCACAGTCCCCTCATCACACAACTGGGGGGGTGCTGAGCCCGCATCCGGGACCCCAGCCCTGGCGGGCCGCCGACAGGCCGCAGGCAGCAGAAGCACCTCGACATCATGCTCCCTGGAGTGACTAGCAAGCTGGTCACCGGTAATGGCCAGCGCTTGCTGACCGGAACTGGACCTAATGTCGGGGCAGAGCCAGGCCAGCCGACCCCTGGGATTGTGGGGTGGCCGGCGCCTCACTACACCTGCCTTGCTGACGCCAGGGGGCTAACTCCGGGGAGGGGTGGGCACAGGTGGCAGTGGGCGGCTCGGTCTCAGCATCTGGGGCCAGGGGCACCGGGCCCGGGCCCTCCGGCCTCAGTCAACCTCAGCCACGGCCTCCAGGACAAACCAACCCGACCCCCACCCGTGGGGCTTTTGTCAGTCCGTGTGGAGGTTCCACGCGTCTGGGAAAATCTAGAGAACAAGTCGGCCCCAGAGCGTAACCCTGTCGCGTGACCTCATGACCCGTCCGACCTGACGGCCGTAGCTGCGTCCACGCGCTGACGTCCGCTCTCGTTGCAGATGGCTACCCCAGGGAAGAGATGGTTTACCGATGGAGGAAAAGCTCGGTGGAGGCGGCGGACCAGAAGTCCTGGCGGCTCTACCAGTTTGACTTCATGGGCCTCCGAAACACCAGCGAAATCGTGACGACGTCGGCAGGTAGGCTCGACGGAACACGCCGTCCCCAACGCCTCGGCCACACGGTCACGCCCGTCACATAGCCGTCCGTCATGGGGGGGTGTCAGCTGATCAGACCCAGGCGGTCATGATTCCGAAGGGACGTTTGAGCCAAAACAACCGATTCAGAAATGAAAAAATGTTAAGCGTCTTAATTAGGACGTGGCTGCCGGGGACTTTGGGCCATGCGCTTCCCGAAGCAGGGCAGGCGCTGCCTCCCACGAGGATGGGGAGCAGAAACATGGGGCACAAGTGGGGACCCTGTGTGCCACGCACCCTGAGCTGGAAGAGGCCAGATGAAATTTTAAAAACGTTTTCTCCAGCACTGTCCCTGGGGAGGGGCGGGCACAGACGTCAGGGGGACGGAGCAGGCCGCCTGGGGCGGAACCGGGTCAGCTTCTGGACCCACACGTGATACCACTCATAAGCGACAAAGGCCTCCTCTTGACCCACACGTGATACCACTCATAAACGACAAAGCCTTCTCTTGACCGGGCTGTCGAGAACTTAAGTGAACTAGCAAATGCCACACGTACGTATAAGTAACACCCACTGTCATTGCCTAACGAACTTCAAGAGCTTTACATATTGGCTTTTCTTGGCAAACAGTCCATTAAATCGGCCGTGAGCGTTGCATTCAATGAGTCGCCCTAACAGGACAGCAGAGTGAGATTTTTATCTTGAAAGCAAATAGAGAAGCCTATCTGAAATAGTTCCCCTAGAAGAGACCCCAAAAGTCCTTTCTTCTGGGCGTCTTGTCACATTTGTCTGAGTGCGATCGCGTAATAAATCAGTCTGGGTTTTAGAGTCAGAATTTTAAAAATAGCGACGGTGTCTCTGTTCACAAGACGGAGTGAAGAAATCTTTCAAACCCACCGTGAGTCGGGTCCCTCTCTCAGCGAAGAAACGGGGGGAAACCACAGCCACCGAACGAACAGCTCGTCCACTAAGAAAATTGAAGTTCTCGGATGCAGGTCACATCTGCCTATGTCTGTTCTTTTAGGAGCAGATCGAATTCATTATTTCTTAAAAGCAAAATTATCTTTGCATGGGACCCGAGCAGATTAGCGCGTTTGGTTGACATGACGTGTGTACATGAAGCATCTCGCGGACTTCCTTGCTTCCAGGCTCACACCCGAGAGAGCCAGGTCACCGCAAATATCTTTCTTACTGGGTGGGGGTCTCAGAAGGGTGGCAGGCCTGGCCCACGGCAGAGCGCCCAGCACGAGCCGCAGCTGACGTGAGGCCGGTGGCTTTTCCGTGATCCACTTCCTGGAGCCAACTCTCGGTTTCCAGAATGTTCTGTTTTCTCCAGTCCAGTGTCGGGTTATGTGTCACCGTTTGGGACATTCCTTGGCATGGATGATACGCAATCATTCGAGCACAAGAAAAAGTCCGAAACTTGTGTATACCGACATAAGGGGGTGTGATAACTCAAAATTATCATTAAATAATGACATTATTGTCGAAATTGAGAACTCTGGCAAAGAACGTTCTGGCATCTTCCCATGTCGAAAGTGCAAGTGACATTGGTCATTTTCTGTGCTTTCCTGATCTGCCATAAGCTTGCAGGTAGCTCTGCAGGGGGCTCGCCTGAGCGCGAATCCCTCGTTCATGAACGGCCACGGCGAGCCACCGGGAGCATGTCCAGGGGGTGACCGCGTGCCCGGGGGGTGACCGCGTGTCTGGGGAGTGACTGCGTGCCTGGGGGGTGACCACATGCCCGGGGGGTGTGTGCCCAGGGGGTGACCGCGTGCCCGGGGGGTGACCGCGTGCCTGAGGGATGTGTCCCCTCACGTGCATCGCTCTGGGGGTGCTGTGCCAGTCGGGGTACAGTTTCCTGCGTGCCACCTGCCGTGCTCCTCCACGGCCGCCACCCCAGTCTGCTTAACTTTATCACCCCAACTTCCCAAGCACTGATATCTCTCAGCCAGGGGCCCATTTTTAAGAGAGCTTTCGCAGACTAGCGAAGAAGGACAGCCGTTCACGTGCACAGTGCCCCGTCAAAGAGGATGCGTGTGACACGGCAGACAGCAGAGCCCTGGAGCCTCCCACCTGCTCGAACCCCAGGCCTGTCTGCGGCATGCCGTCGCCCACGGGTCCCCTGCCCGACTGAGGCTCAGTCTCCTCATCTGCAAAACAGGGGAAAAATACCAGTGCCCGCCTCAGGGACGGGGACCTGCCGAGGGTCCGGGGAGCTGACAGCAGCCAGCGACCACCGCCTAGCGTTAAAGCTACGCGTCTCTCCCAACAGGTGACCTATCTGTGTCCTGGGGACCTCGCAGAGCAGTTAGCTCAGAGAAAGAACTTGGTAGACACGTAAATGTTTGGAAGAGAAAACCACCATTAATTTGTTTAGCCAACAAGTCGAAGAGATAAATATTCCACTTCGCCAATGGTTAAACGAGGCCTCAAAGATGCAGACTTGGCTAAGAATGCAACGCCTTAAGCGAAAGGGCGGGCCCTCCACGCGCTTTCTATTTCTCCTGTAATGAAGCCACAGGTAAAAGGCGTTTTTAAACATGCTTTAGTCTGGGCCTAAGTCCCACTTCAAACGGATGTGAGGATGACGTGAGGCTCATGCCACCGACGCCTCGGGCATCATGAGGTGGCCAAGCCCGCGATGGCCCGAGGTGACTGCACCGTCACCAGCACCGCCGCCAGGTTCCGGCCGGGGCGGGGTCCGGGGCGGATGGAGCGGGACACGCAGGTGGCTTTGGCTTTTTTGTCTGTGTCCACTCAGCACGATGCCCTCGAGACTGATCCAAGTTCCTGGGGGTGTGACAATGACGACGCTGTCACCCGGCAGGTTCCTCGCCCGCTCACCGCGAGAAGGGCCCCCGGGCCGCCCTTCGGGGCCACCACGCGCAGGTGTCCGGGTCTCTGGGGTCCATGCCCATGAGTGGTTTCCCCACTCTGGAATTTTCGCGGCGGCGTTGCGTGTTCAGGTTTAAATCTTTCCATCGTGTTCTTTATACCCGTCTCTCCCTTTGCTCAGAATTCCTTTTTTTCGTCCGTGTTCAGGTTTAAATCTTTCCATCGTGTTCTTTACCCCTCTCTCCCTTTGCTCAGAATTCCTCTTTTGTCGTGTTTCCGTTACGGTCATAATCGCTCAGCTAGACGCCCCCGTGGCGGCCGCGTTATAAATGGCGCCAACGCCTCCGCCGCTGTGCCGCGGGCGGACCCCGGTTGTCTCTCTGCCTGAGCGCGTCCAGCTGCCGTTAGGAGTTGAAGTCTGGACCTGGGTCCGATGCCGGGAGACTGGCTCGTGTGTAAGTCTGTCCTAGGTGACTTCCTCCCAACAGGGTGATCGGGTGACATCGTGGCATCACTGGCCGGTGTGTCGCTAAGCCCGGGTGCCCTGCTTGACCTCCGCTGGCCCCTGAGGGGTGAGCTGCCTGCCGCTCCCGCGGTGCCCGCTCGCAGCCCAGAAAGACCAGAAATGCGGGGGCCCCCGGTCCTTACTGACATGGGGGCCCCAGTGCCTCTGTGGCGCTTGACTGAGGGGACCATACGGGAAACCCGGAGGGCTCTCTCAGCGCTCCCAAGTAGGCGACAGCGCTGTTGGCTGCGTCACCACGCTGTACGCGAGGCCCCGGGACTCGGCAGTGGAAGCGTGTGCCCTCGGCTGACTCGTCCCCACCGCCTTCCCACGTGGAAGTGACACCGTGCAGCATCTGCCTCTGAGGAACCTGCCTCGCCGAGCACAGGGCCCCCGCGGCCCAGCCGGTGGCCACACTGGCAGGTGTCCTTCCTCGTGGCGAGTGCGTCCGTGCGTGTGTGAGAACTGGCCGCGGAAAGTTGACAGCGTCAGCCCGTGTGTGGGGCGCACGCAGCCACAGAGAAGGCCCACGTTCCCTTCAGCCCTGGGCTGATGGCCTTTGTCACCCAGGCAGGGACGTGGCTGCCGGGGACCTTGGGCCATGCGCGTCCCGAAGCAGGGCAGGCCTCCCACGAGGATGGGGAGCAGAGCGGGGACCCCGGCCTCTTCCAGCTCAGGGTGCACGGCGCACAGGGACCTGCTGGTCCCCCTAGGTGGGGCCTGCTCCCCAGCCGTCCGCACCCCCTGGAAGCCGACAGCGAAAACCGCGGGGTCCCGGGAACTGCAGCCGGGTGGGCCCCCGCACCTCGCCGAGAGGCAGCAGCGTCGCGGCGAGGCCCGTCACACGGTGACCGCGGGACGTCCGGGCAGAGTCGGGCCGAGGGTCCGCCGGCACGGGCGTGGGAGCCAGCCCCTCCGGCCGGGGGGCAGTGGGGTCTCCTGGCAAGGGGCATCGCTCCCTGTGCCCGGCCTGGCCCTCTGGGCTTCCGCTGGGGCTGCGCTCTGAGCCGCGGGGCGATTTATCCTGTTCTGCTTTTCGGTTTGTGTTCTCCTTGGTTCTTCATTGAAATTTTATGTAAAAATTAATAGGCGTTTAACGTCGCACGGAATCCAGTAATGTCCCCAGGAAAGGGCGAAACGGCATTCGTATTACTTAGAAAGCTATTCGTGTTCTTTGATTGATTCCGGTTAATTGTTCTGATTCCTTTGTACCGAAATGCTAATTCGCTTAACATTTTAAATGTTTTTCGGGACAACGATCTCAAAATTGATGTGTCTATCAACCATACTGAACGCTTCATCTTGCAAAAAAAAAAATCTACCTTTCTGAAAGGCATAGTTTTCATATGGGTTTAGTGTAGTGTCCCTGTCAATCTTTTTAAGTAAAAACGGAACATTCCTGGGGATCTTTACGTTAAATAAACACCACGTCACATCGGTAAACGAGAGAACTACATTCTCCGACCCGACCAGTTCACGGCTTTGAAGGCCGATCCTGTACTCGTAACGACAGAGCTGAATTAACGCGCCTGCGGGGCGGGGGCAGGGGGACAGCCCGGAGGACAAAGTGACCTCAAGGCGGAGACGCGGAGGTGAGCGGGAGCTACCTGGGCGCAGGAGGAAGGGACAGAAAAGAACTCTGGGCCGGAGGGGAGGGGACTGGCAGCCTCTGGGGCGGATGGCGGTGCATCTGAGGACCCGGGTGTGCAGTGTAGGGGGCCTGGGGCGCCCCACGCAGGGCGGTGTGGCCGTGACCGGGAAAGGTCGTCAGGAGGGCGTCGTGACACTCGTGTTTCGGACAGAGGCTCGTGGTGGCGGGACGTGGGACCGCCCGGAGCTGACGGGCCGGGGGCCGTGATGGCAGACGGCGCTCGGCGAGGCGGGGAAACGGCGTGTCAGAGTCAGAGCCGGTGTCCGGGTTTCCGCCCCGAGTGACTGAGGCGCTGAGTGGACAGCGGCCACCGGTGCGGGGGTGAGGCCAGCTCCGGACGGGGACAGGCTGAAGGTGGAGGACAGATGGGAGGACGGGAGACCTGACTTCAGACAGAGGTCACCCCG